AAAATTTGTTAACATCCCGTTGGTTGTCTCATATTCTAGTGGTCTGAGCGTACATTCATTTTAGAGCCAAAATTCAACGTTCATTTAGTAGACTTGCTGTGTTCAAACACTGTAAAGAGTACTAGTCATCTTGGAGTTAGAAGATATATAGAGAATTTTATATAGTTTAGGGTCCTTATTAATTATTGATGAACACTTTTTGTCAGAACAGTTATTCATCTTTTATTTTCGGGACTTGTGAAAAATCAAAGAGTGCATGAACTGTATCCTTCTATAAAACCAGTACAAGGGCCTAATACCCAACTTCTGTTACCAAAGTAAAATGTGTGGGTAATTCTGTGATTTTCTGAGCAGCAATTATTAACAAATGGTGATAAATATTTAAGCCGTGTTTCTTAATAATTTATCTTTCCAATGTAAAATCTTTTGGAGATTAAGTAGTAATGACAAGTGGTAAATACTTGTATCTTGTGAAGTCATTACCACATCATTGTGTGATAACCTCTCAAAAATATCAAGAATTATTTCATCTATCAAATATCCAGCCACTATTACATTATAGACCAGTGTGACTGTCTGTGTTACGGCACTAAGTTTACTTCAGTGACAGAATGTAGCAGAATTAAAAAACAAAACAAACCAAACAAAAGGCAATTTTTGAGCTTTTCTTGAAAATTCACACACCAGAATTTACTTAAAATTCATAAGGTTCATAATACCTTACTTGAACTTGCTAGCTGTTTATTATTGAGACTCTCTTGCGAGTGAAGTGTCAGGATCTCTGGATTCACCTGTTGGTGACAACACAAATTGTTGCCTCCAAATACAATTTTGGGGGGAGAATCTGAATTCATCTTTAAATGCTGTGCTGTCATACAGAGTGAGTGCAGCTCACTGTTTACACTGGGGTTTGCCCCAGTACTAGCAGTATTTGTAAATAGCATTTTAGGTAATGAAACTCGTGTAGGATTCGATGTATTAACTCTTTATTAAATGTTTTAAAATAAAACCAGCGATGGGATTATATTAGCAGAATGTAAAGATGAAGAAGCTAAATACAGCCCTCTACCAAAATATAATATATCTGAAAGGAGACATGGTCATAAAATACCTTATTTTCAATGCAGTATATAACTCAGTATTAAAATTCTGTTGATGTATTGATCAGAATACAAATGCAAATGCATGCAAAAAGCCTATGTAATTGAAGAGCTTAATGTATTTATATATGCTAGTATTTAGTATTTATTAGTAAATACATATGTATTTATGTATCTATATATGCAGATATATAGATATTGCAGATCTTTAACATGAGGCTCTTATTTTGCTTTTAAATTCTGAGGTTGTTTATATGTACTGTGTAGAAAAGTTGAAGCTGTTCTAACAAAAATTTCCGTTCTTTGACTTTTTTTTACTTAGGCAGTGCAAGGACTGAGAATTCAAATATTTTGTATTACCCAAATTTTGTGTAGTTTTTAGTTTCCTTAGAAACTGCCAGAATGAGAGGGTATATCTTTGGGTGCTGGAAAAATTTTGACAGGAAATCAGAGGAGAACTAGAAATTAGGGCAGAGTAGAAAAGACAGATTTTTTTCCTAATACGGAATCCAGATGAACCAAGATTGGCTTGATTAATAGTAGTAATGATAAAATTGTGGTACATTAAGAACTCAATCCAGTAGAAACGCACAATATTAATTTCAGGATGTAAGTTTGAGCACACAGGCTATCCGTGTGTTTGTGTTGGTAGAACACGATGCTTTATACTCAGGCACAGAAGATGATACATTTTGAACTGCTTGATTTGTAAATCAGTATTTTTAAACGTGCACAAATGATTACTCAGAGCTATGTACATTCTGAAAATTAATTAGTAGGACAAAGCAGTCTTCTTCCATAATTGCCCTTCCCAAAAGCTGGTTAAATGTGTGGATGGTTCCCAGGTCCATATCCAGATCATTTTCTTGACCTGTTTTGAAAGTGCACTTTGGTTGAGCCCAAATATTGCGAGTTTGCACTTAAAAGAAAATTTCTGTCTGAAACAGTAGCACAAAGTAAGATATAGAATGGATGCCCAGCCCAGCCTGCACGACAGGGTTGCTACCATGTTGTTAGAATAATTATATTTTGGCTGAACTAACTAATTTAGAAAAACTGCAGTACATCTAGCAAGACTGAAAACTTTCCAAGACTGAGATGGGTTTTTTGGCATTGTTGGGTTTTTTTGGTTTGGTTTTTTTTTTTTTTCATTTTTAGTATAATTTAAAACAATACCTCTTCTAGCTGCCAACAAACTCTTTCCCTGAATCTCACCATTCCTGGCTTCCCTCCTAACCATGTCCTGGCTCACCTCCAGAGCTGCCAAGTTTATGCCAGAAGCAGGAGGTAGATTTGTATGGGGCTGGAGGAAGATCTGGAGCTCTGTTAAATTTTCAAGCCCAGATGGGGCAACATGATTTGTGTGTTTATGTCAGTGTGCCATACATCACAACTATCTGTGTGCTGACGTCAGCTTTGATTGGGCATTAATGTGCTGAACGCTGCAAACTAGAAAATACATGATAGATACAGATCTATGGCAACAATGCCACATAAGCAAATGTCTCTTTGGTGTGGCGATTCGCTGTGCAAAATATTTCCCAAGATCCACTGCATTAAGCCAGGGGAATATTTGGACACACTTTAAAAACAAAAACAAAATCAACGTGGGCAAAGGGAGCACAATTTAAGAAAGCAAACCCTTTCAGAGGAAGAGCTGAAACCAACATAGGAAAGTGTGTATTGTCAGGCAAATAATGAACTGCTGTCCCTCATTTTAATCTTTCCAGAATTAAAACTAAGGAGGAAGGATGATATTCTTATGATTTGCAGGACTATCAATAGTGAGGATACATTGCTGATGGTTGAGCATCTTTCTATCCACAGTTTTTATAACCCATTGTTATCAAAACCAGCCAGCAAGAACATTAATGCACAGCAAAACAAGAAGGGACAGCAAAAGTTTATTTTCAAATGATGGAATATTTTTTCTTTATCAAGATTTTAGCTTAGTTTCCAGGAATCATTAGTGTTTGTTTATTTTTTAACAGTTTTGCCTTTCTTGATATACAAATAACATCCTGCAGCCTTCTGAAGAACTGGTACAATACGGTAATTTCTGGTCTGTGGGTTTATAGAGGTCACTGCCTACTTCAGATTTATATCTATACCATCTTTATGTGATGATTCCCCTTTAGAATACTGTGACCAAAAGTTTCCATTAAAATATAGTAATTGTCTCTCTCTTCCTAGAGGAGGAAACAATTTACAAGTCAGCTTTAATATCTCAGGGGCGGATATAATAACAAAGTCTAGGGATTGATGTGTAGGCAGTGTTCTTTTCCCTCAGATCCCTTGTGCTATTCCTCAGCAAGGAAATTCTGTAGGATAACACTACTTTATATCATTATTCAGCATTAGACTTGGTGGGTAAAATGGAAGTTCCCTGATTCCACGGGGATGGATGGTTTTGGCCTGTGCACAAGTAGCAGCTTTGAAAAGAGACCCCTCCCCAGGATTTGATGCCATCTGGCCCATAAGGTGGGGAAGGGAGGGGGTGTAAAGGTGCCATGGGATCAGTGGAATTAGGCCTTGTAACCTGAGCAGATTGGGCTGTGCAGGACAGGCCACAACTTCATGCAGTGGTCAGAAAGCAGAATTCAGTTTACTCTTTGATGGGAGCGGGAAATTTTCACCTCTCCCGTCTGCTTTGTGAGCTTTGCTGTGGCTGGAAGATACAGGGATATTGAAATGTGGGTTCAGGAGAGCAGCTGGTGCACTGATCACCATTTTACTCAACCTGAATGTCAGGGCAGTGCCTAGACTATTCTAACATATCTGGGGATATTTCCCTCTCTCTGCTCCTAATTGATAAGTTGTTACTATCAAATAATTTTACCAGTATTTACATTGACCTTTCAGAGTAAGCACCAGTTGTATAGTTTACAGAAGAAGCGCAAAATGTACAAAATACTTTTAAATCAATAAAAAAAGTACAAAACTGTGACTTGGAGGTACAGAGCTAATTCCTCATGCTTGGAATGGGAATTTTTGAGGTGATTAGTTTTGATACCCCTGAAGGTATGATGAGTATAACACCTACAGCTACCAAGAACCAGAGGGTACCAGCTGTCCAGGCAGCTTTAGGATAACTACTTCTTATCTTAAAGAAATATTTTGCTTTTTAGCACAGATTTGTTTCTTCTTTTTTTTTCCTCATTAAATACAGACATCATCAGAGCATTTAGGAACATTTCTCCTGACTTACCTCTGAAGATCTCTGTTGTGACCTTTGAATGTCTCTGTCTGCTATGTGAAATTAAGGAAAGAAAACTATGTGGAAAGCAGCTTATTTAAGGCACATGACAGTCCACTGTTGCACAAGAAATAAGGCATCACTTACAAAACACAAATATATTGAGAAATTATAGAGATACAGATTTGTAAAGGTAAAGAGGAACTTTTGGAAAGAAAAATGCTGGAGGATTGCTTGAGTTTTCCATGTTGTCTGACTGATGACCAAAATGAATAATTGTGTGGGTTGTGCTTGCTCAAAATATGATATGCCTAAGTGTATTGAACAGCAAGGTTTTCAGAACACAAACAAAAACTGGGCCTCTGACTGGTAGTGGAAGTCAATGAGAGACAAGCTTAACATATTGCTTTTGAAGTATCACTGATGTGAGCAAATGCTTCTGTTATGAAGGTTTAGGAAAATGCAAATTTACTGCTAGGTTAACCCTTTTATGGTTTCTCCCTGCCAAATATGCATTTTCTTTAATCAGAAATTTCAAGTCTTTTTATTTTTTAAAGAATAAAGGCCCTCTAACGTAATTCCTAAGTATTGATGACCTATTTTTTCCCCCCAGTTTGCCATTGAGAAGAACCAAGGCTTACTCTATGAACATTAATTACCTTTTTCATCACATAGGATGTGTATTTTGTTCCCGTGTCTTACAGAATAAAGCAATTATGGAACGTGTAACAAACTTGTCAGATCTGGTGGTTGGTCTTGAATCATTTATTGGCTCTGAGAGAGAAACCAATCCGTTGTACAAGGATTACCACGGTAAGTTCCATCTTTTAGCAATGCAAAGAGTCTGCCCTGAGCGTTTCTAGGGTGCACTTAGTGGCTTCCCCTCCAGCTGGGTGTCTGCTCGAAAGCAGCGTTTGATTTGGGTTTGGAATATTCCCTCTTAAACGTTCCTCCTTGCCCAACCAGCCTGGAGTTGGGAAAATATTCAGCAAAAGTGCATTAAGGCTTGCAAAGGAAACATGGCAACTCCTTGCGTGTTGTCAAGCCGCATTACCGAGGCACGGCTCAATCAGATGGACATCTCAACAGGCAGGCTTTGGGGAATTCACATGCAGGGGAGGCTTGGCAATCATCTGACCAGTGAGCTGAACTTGTCGTGAAATCAATACTTTTGATCTGCCAAGTTTTAAGTAGAGAACAGGGGAAAACGTATATTATGGGGAGGTGGATAAACTGCTAAATTGTGCGCTGTATAAGCTGTGTCTAAGAATGACGTTCTGCTTTTTTCAGCTGTGATTTCCATTTAAAGCATTCAGCACTTGTGCATTTAAAGAAATTAATAAGTGTGGCGTGTAAAATATGAAACCGATTTTGGTAAAAAGTCGTGTGGCCTTTCAAGTGTTTTATCTTCAAAATGTTGTAAATGGTGTTTAATCTCGCCTTCTGTCTCCCAGAGGTTTTTTGTTAGCCGTTGCAGCAGAACTATTTCTATTTTAAAAGATTAGTATTAGAAGTTATGCATAGCCAAAGCAGTGAATAACAGTTTTAGCTAATCCAGAGCAGTGCTGGGAGCATGCATAAATTACAGCTATTATTGCTGTGATACTACTGTAGTTCCATGGAAACCTTCAGCTGAAAGTAAACTGCTTATCCCAAACCTGCTGTAAGCATGTGAGAGTATGGCAGTGTTTTCCAATATATGGAATATATGGAAAAAGAAGAGACACCACTGTGTGTATGCAGGCTGTAATTAGTAAATCAGGGAAAAATCTTTCTGGCTGTGAAAATAGTGCACGTTTCACCATCTGAAAAAAAGGTGAATGAAAAAGAAACCGTGAACAAAAGCTGGAATAATTTGCCTAATTATTTTTCCAACTGTATAATCGTGATATGGCCTTTGTTTATGCTAACATAATTCTGTCAATTTGATATTCCTTTTCCCAGGACTGAAGAGATCCTTTAAGACAATGTGTGTTTTAGCAGTTATTTCCTGGTTTCCTATAAAGATGTATGCTAAGTCATTTTTGGTCCTATTTAATAAAAATTATGTGCCAATATACATAGCTTTTGAGGCTTAAACAACCTTAATTTGACAGCCTAAAAAGAGGCATTTTTAGCGGTTTTAACTTCGTGGATTCTTTTTGCTTGAGAATATCTTTTAAGATGATTTATTTACTGCAGATGATGAAAGATTTTGACGTGACTCAGGAGAAGTTTGATTACAATATTGCATTATTTAATGAATCCTGCATTAATAATTTTATTAAGCTGCATGCAAATTTAAGTGTTTGAAAAGTCAGTAAAAAAAACCAAAATAATTATACAGAAGATCCTTAAATAAAATTTCTGCAGTACTGCATATAAGCAACCCTCTGTTATACCTGCTGTTTCTATATATAATAATTAGATTTTCTACTCAAAAGCCTAACAAATAATTCTTCTGAATCACTGGACTGGAGGCAGGGATAGAAGGTTTCAAATCATAAAAATGCTTTTCTAATATTGTTAAGAATTTTTATGATTAGTGCCCATAAAATTATGCTTTTTAAATTATTTCAATTTCAGGAAACTGCAGTTAAAAAAAAAAAACCAAATAAAGCGATGCCTGAAAAAAATACTGGCCTTATTTTAAATATGGGTTTTAATGTTTGGGGGTTTTCCCACAGCTGCTGTTTTCAAGCAAGATACCTTTTCTAAATGTTCAGTATTTCCATTTAGACGCTGGCTTTATGAACAGCAAATATAGGCCAGTAATTGAGAAGCCCTGTAGAATTTTCCTGGGTTTCAGATGTAGAAAATCAACCCTTAGGTTGTTCAGGGACTATATTAGGCTGCACAAAAACCATCCAGCGTCCTTGTCAGAAAAAATCAGCTTGAGCCGCAGCTGACAGAATGCAGAGCTTGCAGTGCACCTAGCACTGTTAAAAACATCTGAACAGCTAGAGAAGCCTCCTGCAGGAAGAAAACATATTTCTCCTAGGATGGCACAGGGGTTAAAATTTATTAAAAAGCATGATCTAAATCGGGGAGGGCTGGGGTGGGGAGGGGGGGATGGTGATGGTTTCCAGAAACTTTTTTTCCCAGCCGTTTTCAGGGCACAAAACGAAGTGGTTCTCATTAGAGCTTCAGTGGTTATCAGTAACCCATAAGCCTTGTTTTGCTGGCTGCTTACTGGTGCATTTAATAAAATAAAGATCACTCAGTGGTGCCGTGGGCAGCATGCAAGGTGATAGCCATATTTGCTTACTGTAAATACAAGAGAAAATCACACACAAACCGGCTGTAGTTTTGACAAGTATTAAGATCGCTCTTTACATCTGTACTTCTGTACCCAAGTGCAATTAGTTTTCCTCGCACAAGGATTTCTGTTTATCTTATTCTGCTTGATTACTTGAGTATAATCGCACCGTTTGCTTCACTGCTCCTGGTAGTAAGCTCCAGCTTAAAAAGGGGAGGATGAGTGTGTGTAAATATACAGAATTCTGCTCTAAGACTCTAATTTATGCATCTGGATGACAGCGTTTTCTTAAATTTTTTTATTTATTTTTTATTTTTTTTCCCCCCCTCCTTCACTCTTTCTTTCCTCAAGGTTTGGTTCACGTACATCAGATTCCTCGGCTTAATAGCTTGATCTGTGATGTGTCAGACACGAAGGACCTTGCTTTTAGATTAAAAAGGAAGCTGTTCACCATTGAGGTAAGAGAAAGATCGTTTCGCTGTTTAGAAACCCAAAAGGTGGAGCTAATCCCCGTCTCTTATGTTTCGTTTTGCGAAATACATAAAATATGCATCAGATGTTGTAAATTCCATTTCGTTCTGGTTTTGCTGTTCAGAAGGGTTTTCTGAAATAGTGTAATATGCCTTCTGATTAAAAATGTCTCATTTGCTGCACTAAACCGGTCTGTTATAAATAGTTTATTTTGGTTTAAAATGTACATAGAAAGTAGGCCACAACCTTCAATAACAAAGCGTGACATGTTTCTAAGGATGTCAGGAGCATATTTAATTAAATGTTAATGACTTGCTCTTACTTGTGTTAGTGGGTGGGAAAGTAGCTACATGTTATTACCCCAGTGGAGGGATTTTAATGTATAATGTTGCCTAAAATTGTGTGTGGTATGAGGGATAAGTGTCCTTATCAGTATTCAGAAACCATTTTCTTTGCATTACTGAAATCACCTTTCGCTCTTTTATGTCATTTTAAACACAGTATCATTTACACTAATGTCCTTAAGTAAATTTCCTACTAAATTTAAACTTTTTTCTGTGACCTTTATGCAGGCAGTCCTGATAGAAGGCAGTAATACAAAAGATGTATTTCATTTTAATCTTGCTAAAGAGCAAATGAACATAGCACTATTAAGCAATTAGAGCTGATGTATTTATTAACCAAGTAATGCTTAGAGATGGGAGATGGCTTTTGGGGTGATGTGATAGTCATTGGTACAGTCTGGGCAAATTTTCTTTTTTAACAAAGACATAAAACAGCCAAGCATCCCTGACAAACCATTTTGTTTAATCTCTTTTCAAATGAAAAGCTCTTAAGCAGGCCACTTGTCTTAACTGCTTGAAACCATAAAAAGAGAGAATTGCCACCAATAAATTAGCATATTTTTTACTCCATCACCAAATGCTGGTCAATGTGGCTTGGCACTGCTTTGGTGTTTGGGACTTCACCCTTAAGTGACCACTTTGGCCCTTATTTGACCCTCTGCCCTTTTTAGCTGGCCACTTGATAAGGTAACTTAAGGGTTCTCTCTCTTCACTGCCCCCTCCCCTTCACAATTGCAAGTAGCCCTAACCTATAAATCATTGAAAGGGCCCTATCAAGTGACAAATTAAGGTGCCCTCCTCCTAATTAATGGTCATCAATGTCTTTAATTATCTAATCCTATTGAGAGTAGTTAATAGTTAATCAGGCAGCCAGTTCTTCTCGCAGGTCATCTCTGCATGAGTGCCAGAAGTTTCTCAACTAGAGGTATCCTCTTCAGAAGCCACTTAAAGGCAAAGACATGAAGGAGGGCTTTTTTTTCCCCAGGACAATTCCTTTATAATGTTTGTCACTTTCCAGAGAATGTGGTTGGTGAAACCAGGCTTTGTGAGGCATTAAAGCCTTTTAACAGCTGCTTTTGAGCGGTACAGTAGGAACAAAACCCTTAATAGTCTGTGTTTGGTTTTAAAATACAAATGTTCTTACTGTTTTCAGAAGTGCAGAGAAGCGTGCACCCTCGGTCCACAGCATAGTAAATTCTCATTTATTGTCAGAATATCTGGGGGGGTTTTTTCCATCACTACGAATCCTGACTCGGAGTACAATTTTTTCCGTCAGACAAATCGAGATTCTGATTTGTAACGTAATTTGCAAGAATAAAAAACACCTTTAGCAGGAAGCTCTGTAAAAAGAATTGAATTAGCCATGGGGCATTGGGAGCAGGAGCGTGGTGGAACTCTTGAAACAACCTGTTGCCCCAGACATGCGTAGATGACGCACTTGTGTAGTTTCTCCCTTCATTGCTCGGCTACAGCCCCTTTGGAGTAACTTCAGCTTTTGTTAGAGATATGCTTTCTGTAAGCTGAACTGACACAAACTAACCCCTTTTGAACGTGTTGGATCACTGTCCTACTGTGATCTTACTGTACATGTTTCACCAATCTATAGTACATATGTTTTTCTTCCTCATACTGTTAGGGAAAGCAGACTACAGCAATAAGGTCAGCAAGAAAATGGGAGCAAGGGAGAGCTGAGTTAAGAAAGGGTGGGAATGCAGTCTTCTAAAATGCGTTTCTGAAGTTAGGATGGGATGCATCAGCAGTCAGTTTTGGTTCTGGGGGTAGAAATGAAAAGCAGCACAACCGTGTGCATTACAAGCAACAGTGTGCTTTACACAAAGTACAGCTAAGTTTGTGACTTTAGCAGGTAGTTTAAATGTGAAATGAAAGCTTATATTTACTACCTTAAAGTTTTGGGAAAGATTCTGCTTAGTTATGTAAACAATTTAGGGTAAAAATACTGACCTCAACTTGAAATGCCACTTCAAAATCAAATTACATAAGAAAAGTTCAAAATACAAAACCTGTGATTAATGGCAAAATTTCTTCAAAAAGGGTTTTCATCACTAGACCATTCTTTTTTTTTTTTTTTTTTACAGTTTAAAATAAGAGCATGGGACATGGATTTTCTCATCTCTGGATTGCTCACCAGTTAAATAACTCTTTATAGTATTGGCCCTCATAGGTGAAAAACTTTAGATGTCAAACCCATTTTATTAGATTTTGGTTCTGTGGGAGGGACTCCACCTCTTTGTAGTCTGCAGAACCATTTAACTGTTTTAGTTTTTCTCATATGTTCTTCATCAAAATAAGATTGACTGAAATGTTTTCTAAAGGGATTTTTTTTCCATTCAGGGTGAAAACGTTTTTTTGTGAATATTTATGAGTGTTCATTTTCCATTTAGAAATTGTGAAGCAGAACTTTTCCAGGAAAGCCTGTGTGTTTATCCTGAAAGGTGCAGTAGCTATATCAAGCTTTCCCAAATCTTCACACGTTGGTTTACCAGCAATATACTATTATATGCCGTATTATCAGAGATCTATCTTATGTGCATACCACTTTAAAGGACACAATTTTGAAGTTAGCCTGTCTAATCCTATTTCTTCCCGCTTTGGAATCTTAATTAGAAGGAGATAAAAACCATCATTTGACTAAATTATTGTCTTGAATCTGTAGCAAAAAGGTATAATCCGCAATTGGGCCAATTAGTGTACCCCATAGTTAGCTATGCTGAGGCAGGAAACTTGATTAGATCTGACACCAGCCTAGTTCCCACTGTTGTTTTGCCAGGTATGATGGTCAGACTTCAAAGGGCTTGAGGCATCAGCAGGGCAAGGTTTGGAGGCCAGCTTAGGTCCGGTCGTTAATCTCCCTGCTAAAACCACAGCAGCCCTCGCACAAAACAAGCTTACACGACACAATCATGCGGTATTAAAGTTTGGGTTGAGTCATGCCAATTTGCCTTTGATTTTCTGATGATTGACTAAAAGATGGCTACATGACTAGACACATACTGAAAGTTTACTGATTAGGTAAGTTCCCCAAATATTTGAAATATTTTTTGATTTCTCAGTTAAGCGATATGACAGCACGTTCGTCTTAACGAAACTTTTCGGCAGAGTTGTTCTCCGAGTACTTTTTTGCTTTCTTTGTGGCTCTCGATGTAACTTTTATCAACATTTGATAAATCTTGATGCGAGCGTTACGTTCATAGTTTTGTTTGATAGAACTTTATCTTTGTTGTTCCAAAGCCTCCTGTGTCAAGACTGAAGAAATCTGTGCCTAAATTTGGTGTTTCCTCTCCTCCAAATTTCTAAGGAAATATTGTTTCTTATTTAGGTATCTTTCTTATTTAGGTACATTTACAATTACTGGCAAAAAGGGCGTTTTCCTTAATTATTTTCCACCTCACCACGAGTGAAGCGCTGTTCCACAGCTGCGATTACATAAGTGTTCCTTTCTTTTGCAGTCTGATTTGTTCAAATATTGCAGTAACAGTGACATGTTTCCATTCTGAGAAAAGCCTAAGGCTGCTTTAGTATTATTCCAAATGATTGAAATTGCCATCTTGCTGACTTTCCCTTGGGCAGCTTAAGGCCTGTTTACTTTTGTATTTGTTTCACATGTTCCCTCTGAGTTTGGCTGGCAGGACATCATTACCTGGTTTGACAAGACAGTTGGAGAAGATTCATATTTGATTAACTCCCTTTGTTATTGTCTGGACAACACAAACCCCTGAAATTGTCTATTTAAAGTTAAATCTCCTGATAAATTCAGATAAATGCTTGCAAAGAGGAAAGTTTATGAGGTTGGGGTTTTTAACTTCTTAGTTTTGCTTAATTTTTAAGTCGATTGCTAGCAGCATAGAGAATAAGCTTTCTCCTACAAGTTTTTATATTGTAGTTTGTCTAATAAATAGTTGTGAAATTTATTTTTTTTTATCAATACACAAGTCAGAGCCAGCTAATATTTTCTTTGTAGTGGCTGTATAACACCAACCCAGAATAAAAATCTTTTAAAAGCCAGCTCAGTTTGAAACCAAGTGTCATCTACGATATAGAGAATTGCCACACAGCAAAAACAAGTAAGTTCCCAGAGTTTAATGTACGAGTTCAAGAGTTTCTTTTCTGAGAGGTGTTCCGTAGCAGGAGAAGTAAGTCAGAATTAGAGGAGTGCTGTGGCAGGAAAGTGGTTTCTCGGTGCCAGGCAGGTACAATGTGGTGCTGTGGAGCACACCACAGTGCATTTTTCCCAGTGGCAATTGCCAGAGTAAAAGGTTATGGCTTTGCAAGGAGACGTAATCACAGAACCCAGTAATGGAGTCTGTGTAGAATTAAAAATAAATGTATGATTCTAGAGGCATTAAAATAATATCCTGTTTTCATTTAGCAGTAAAGGACTGTAAGAAAATTAATGATGGCCAAAAGAAAATACGATTGCAACTCCAGATGCTCATGTCTGTTACGTGTCCAACACTGGTATTTGAAAGAAGACTTAAGATGGTGATTTGGTCAATTAAAAACAGGGAATACATCTTAGATAGCTTCCATCTGAAATCTCTGTATTTCCACCTTTTTTTTTTCCAGTCTGTCTCTTTTCACTGCTTATTTTATACAGACTGCACTGTGGTAAACTTCTTCTGCAA